ATTCCTTACAACAGGTCAGTTCAGTGCCAGTTCAAGAAAATGTTGAATTAAACTGGCAGTAAATCTCTAAACAAAATGTATTGTGTGTCTTGTGTAAATTAGAGAACACAATCTGCCACTATAAACATGATTTTCCTTTTTAGCAATGATAGTTCCTCATACACCATTGGGATACATTCTGTTATTTGCTTTCCTTGGTTGTGATTGGCTATTCTTTGCAAAGTGAATCTTCACCACATTCAGTAAGATAAGTGAACATTCCCTTGGAAAGTGAACAAGCTTTACTCCTTTAGTAAATCAGCCGCACAGTCTCTTTGGCAGAATAGAGAATACTAAACAGAAGATAAGAATGATACTGAAAAATGATTACCGATCACTAATTTTCAGAGAGTCAGTAAAGTCTGCCACGTGTGTGAACAAGACTCGAGTTTCTATTTGTGATATATAAGGACAGTATACTGACATGTGAAGACACATCACCGAGTTATTTCTCTGCTGACCGAAAAGGAATTTCATGAAAAGTACATTATAAATGAATATTTATCTTGGCTTCCTGCAGCAGTTCTCTCAAGAAAGCAGGACAGGCATTATTCACTGCTGAGCACTGGGGGTCCCTGGTTCGAATCCCGGTCAGGTCACTATCTGCAAAGCAGTTGGCGTGTGCTTGCGTGGGTTTACTCCGGGTACTCCGGTTTCCTTCCACACTCCACAGACATGCTGACAGGTAATAGACTAGACTAGTGAGTGAACACATACCGTCACTCGCTCACCTCCCTGCAGAGAGCAGTGTCGGTCAGTCACCGCTTCCCGCAGGGATTGCCCCCCTCCCCGCTCTGATCCTCCAGCACTGACTGGAGGAACGGACGGGGGAGGGGGGGTACAGCTGGCACTGCCTCTCGATAGGCAGAGCCAGCTGTCATTCACGCAGCTGGGTGTATCTCGACAGCATTGCAGCTGTAGCTCGCTATATACTGAGCTTCGGGTCACGGGAGGACGCTAGTATGTGTCCTCCCGTGTCCCTTAGGAGAACTATGGGGGGAAAAAAACTTACCCCCATAGTCCTCTTTTAACTGAACAAACTGAAAGAAGCTGATTGGTTACTATCGGCAACTGCTCCAGATTCTGTCAGCTTCAGTCTTGATAAATCCCCCCATTGTATTTGCTGCCATTTCTGGTAGGAAAAGCTATTGCTAAGACAGGGGTGGGCAACTCCGGCCCTCCAACTGTTGTGCAAATAGAAGTCTCATGAGGCATTGGAAGACTGGCAGTTACAGGCATGACTCCCAGAGGCATGTTGGGATTTGTAGTTAAAGCACAACTGGAGGGCCGGAGTTGTCCACCACTGATTGAGGACCATATTGTTATTATCATATTGTTAAAAATAAAACCATATGATCACCACTCTTCCCCACTCTTCCCTTTCTTACTTCCCAGTCTTAAGCTGGCCATACACCTATAGATTGTCTGCAGACTTTCTATGGTCAGATGGAAAAGGTGCAACAGATTCCTCCATCTACGCTACACTGTGTGGATGGAGGAATCTCCCACTGTGCCAAGCTTGCTGGTCGGCCCCGCTGGCTCTGAAACTACCTGAACAATGCCAGCATCCAATCAGATTGTTCAGGTATTTTAGGAGCCAGCGGGGCCGACCAGCAATATACTGAAGCTTGGCCCGGTGGGAGATTCCTCCATTGACACAGTGTAGCGTAGATGGAGGAATCTGTTGCACTTTTTCCATCTGACCATAGAAAGTCTGCAGACAATCTATAGGTGTATGGCCAGCTTTATACTCGCCTGTCCCCGCTGCAGTGAGAGACCGCTCACTAGATCACAGAGCCAAAATCTTCCTGGTTTGGTCATCACTCTGCACTCCCATTTATTCTCATGGACTGCAAAAGAATGAAGCCTGCTATCAACTTGGTTACATCGGGAGGGGAAGGGTGAAGCCTGACAGCACTCCTATCAGGATCGGTTAAACCATTTCAATTTGCAGCTTTGAAGACCTCCGCAAAGTTACTGGAAGCGGTCTGAAAGCTTTGCGGACGCTTGCTGTACACACTGTTCTCATGCAATCTGTGCAAGGACGTAGGATAGGTTTTCAAAACTATAGCAAACAGAGAGGAACGCTTTGCAGCCTTTCATTTGACGTAAAATATTCCCGCTCCAACCTGACCACAAACTGCAATTTTATTCATCTTCCATCATATTGATCTCTTCGATTACCAATGCAAGTTTCATAACAAGGAATCAGATCATTATAACTCTCGGCCAATATATAATAAATGATTCCAATTTCTGCTGTGGCTGCCTTTAGATAAACATCTTGAAACTGATGTAAGTTCCCCTTATTATTTCATTATTGGCTCTGTGCCAGCTGCAAAACTAGAGGTGTCATTGTGCACAACTTTGACTATATAAAGACTAGACAGGAGGCCAGATAATTGCAGTGCAAAGATTAGCTTCTACATGTGTTCAACCTCCCAGCCAGAAAACCAGGAGGAAGAATGGAAATCTGTCAATGGCATCATTATTATTATTATTAAGGGGACATTTACATCTGTTTTAGGCTAGGTTCAGACCTGAGCGACACCCAAGACACGCGTCCCGGGACCACGCGATCGTGTGCTAGTGCACACAGCGGTTGCCGCACGGCCCCATTGATTTCAATGGAGTTACATCCATGCGGCAATCGTTAAAAAAAGGTACATGTACCTTTTTTGGTGACACACAAAGTAGTTTTTTTTAGCCACGATTGTGTTCAATTGCACGGGCGGAATCGCGGCGGGAAACTGCGCGATGCGCCTGGCACCGTTAGAAATGAATGGCACCCACAGCGTGATCGGCTATGTTGGGCGACTCTAGGACCGCCCAGCAATCCGTTCGGTTTTGTGCACGATTGCTGCGCGGTCAGAAGTCGCCCAGGTGTAAACCTAGCCTTAAGGTGCAACTTAACTGGACGTAAAAAAACATAAAAAAGATCCGCCGAGTGTAGGAATGGTTTTATATACTAGTATCCTCTGGGATATAGTTTAAACACTATTCGTGTGTGATCCACTTAGCCATCTTGTTTTTTATTTGAATATTCTTGATTTTGTATAGATGATTTGCTACTGGTAGAATGTCTTATGATATCATTTTGTTATATGGTATATGATTTATTGTAACTTAAAAGTGCACTTTATTTCATCAAGAAAAGAAACGTTATATATTAAGAATAACACCATCAAAGCCGCAGACCACAGCAGCTCGTTGTAATCTAACTCGGAATACTCCTCAGACTCGTCTACTCACGTATTGGGTGTTCTATAGGGACGTTTTCAGTGCCGTTTCTATAATGAAAAGGGTTAATGGTGCATCAGATCTTCCACTACTTCCACTAGCTGTCACCCGTCATTATGACCGTTCCCTAGCAACCGCTGATTGAGATAACATTGCTGCTGTCAAGGGAAAAGGAACCAAAGCAAATATTCTGAAATGTATGACTGTTCCCTCATCTGCAGCAGAATTGTATTCTTCATCATTCGTTTACCCAATTACACAGACAACCCGCCACCGCCACTTACCTGAATCCATCTGGTCATTTTAATAGGGTGGTAAAGGACTTCTAAAGGCAAATCACAGATCCTTTGACATATAGAAGAGGGTGGTTAAATGAGAATTATGGGGTCAGTGTTTTTCCCCATAGTTCTCCTTAGGGTAACGGGAGGACACAAACTAGCGTCCTCCCGTTACCCTAAGCTCAGTATACCTTTTTTTATACTGAGACGCCGCTGCCGGAGCGGATCCCGACAGCGATGTCGAGATCCGCCCAGCTGCGTGAGTGACAGCTGGCTCTGCCTATCTAGAGGCAGAGCCAGCTGTACCCGCCCCCTCCCCTGTCCGTTCCGCCAGTCAGCGCTGGCGGATCGGAGGGGGGAATCCAGCCCCACCCCTGTCACGGCAGAGAGCCGTGAAAGGATCGAGAAGTCAGCGAACACCGGTATGTGTTCCCTCACCTCCCGATCTACTGAGCCGACCTGTGACAGTCTCATTGTCACAGGTCGGCTAGAACTATGAGGTGAGTGAAAAGCACTCCCCTCATAGTTCTCCTTTAAAACCTCTGCCATGTTTTACTGCTATCTGGGGCTTCATTAGGGGGAATTCCACCCACTTCCTGTTTTGGAGACAACCTTGTCCCCTCTATAAAGGGAAAATCTGCACCAGGGAAACAGAAAACAATAGCAAGCTGACAGGGTTTCTAGTATTTCCCTACTTAAAAAAAATACATCTGTCTGTGCTGTTAGAGAGATTTACTTTCACTTCCTGTCCTGGGGACAACCTTTTTACCAGACAGGAAGTGAAGGAATCAACAGAGCCTCCAATGACAGTAAAACTTTAGAGGAGTTGCAATCCTTCCTCACTCTATCCAAAGCTGGAAAACAAATTATCTGTAGTGTAGCTCGGGTTACTTTTCCATACCATAAGCGGTAACGCCGCGCTACACTCGGGAATGCAGCATAGCATTTACTTACCTTGTTCCTCGAGCCACGCTGTGTTCTCCGGCCGATGCCGGCATCCGTCTTCCGGGTTCCGTCCCTTGCGAGCGTACGCGTCGCAGGGGGGCGGAATCTTTAAAAAAAAACGACAAAAACAACAAACAAAACAAAAAAATCGAACGAAAAACATGAAAAAAATTAAAATCATACCGCCAGGGAGGTTAAAGACACTTAAAGGAGAAGTATTGGGATCTGGGAGAGAAAAATATACTCCTCCCAACAATTAGAGCCGGCGTGGGGTACATACAATATGAATACGACTTCAAAAATGATTTCATTTTGTACCCCCCGAAAACATACTGCAGTTTCCCTGAAAAAAGCTTTTCATTTCTAATTGTATTGATTTTTCCTATTTGGCTCTATCTAGTTTATGCAACAATGAGGAACCTGGCAAAGCAGGAGGATCTTGTAAAAGCTGCTGAGGGCTACGTGGGGAAAACCCTGGAGATAAAACAACTGGACGTGTGTTGTGAAGAGTCCATTCGGAACTGTGTCAACAGCATCCCTGATCGCAGAGTTGATATTCTAGGTATGTAAGACATCTCCCTTCCACATGATCTGATCCTTGTCCCATAGTGTTGGATGCAGGTCACCTTCCACATGTCATCCTGATGTGCTTAAAGCTATTGCCTGCTATATACGGAAAGCGCCGCAACCAGGACGGATCCTGACGATCCTGATCAGTCGAGATCCACCCAGCAGGCTGATTGACAGCGGGCTCTGCCTATCTAGAAGCAGAGCCAGCTGTGCCCGCCCCCTCCCCCGTCTGTGCCTCCAGTCAGCACTGGAGGATCGGAGAGGGGGGTATCCACTGTGACTGACAGTCTCCTCTCTCTGCAGGGACATGATCGGGAAGTAAGCGAGTGACGCTATGTGTTCGTTCACTTCCCGATCAATAGAGCCGACGTGTGACAGTTTAATTGTCACACTTCGGCTTTAACTATGGGGATGAGTGTAATTCACTCACCCCATAGTTCTCCTTTAATTAGCCCTCCTAGCTCTTATCTTCTGGCCACAGATAAATTAGCACTTAGGTTGCAGACAAAACACTAGTGACTAGGGGGAGGATTTGAATAGTTAAGCAAAAGACAACTGGGAGAGCTGACACCACTCAATCCACAAAAATGCCGTGTTGCCAGCCCACAACAGGAGGAGCCCACATTTAGGTGCTGAGAGCATTTCTGGCAAATCAATGAGTTTTGTTTTTTCCACGGGGTCTTTAAAGGGATAAAGCATGAGAAAATGTGCATGTATTTCGGAGACCTACTACATATGTTTGTTTGTTTTTTATTTTGCCATGACATGCACTTTAAGTAGATGAGAACAACCATCCTGCACTCTGTATAGAAAATCCCGAACCTTAATCATACATCCTGGCAGTGGAAAGCCTTGCTACAGTCTTATCAAGAGCACTTTAGATCTAGGTTGCTCTTAAAGAGACCCTGTCACCAGATCATTCATTTTACAGTCTTCCTAGAAGATAATAGGAGTATTTAACACATTTTAGGCATGAGACTGCTTGCTGGGTCCCACCATCTTGGATGTGATGTCAGCACCCCCAGATCTGTCACTCAAGTTACACTCTATAGTATCCCCCTTATCTACTCCCCCCGTTATTACATAAAAGGTTATGTATGGAAGTTGAAAAGAGATTTGCTGGGCCAGCACAGACTATTTAGATACTCCTAAAAGAGGAGAGAGGGCTATGACATACAAAGAGGAGAGGAGGCTGTGCTAGGGAATTGACTTTCTGAAGTAGTCAGATTTGCATGCAAGTAAATAAAAAATAGTTTATGGAAAGGAAAAAACGCTGCCAGTAATCTTTTTAAATGCTTGATTTTTTTATTGCACTTTTAGGTGCTATTTTTTACGTTGGTGACAGGGTCTCTTTAATACTATGATACAGACAGGGTTGGGAATGCTGGATGGAGCAGCAGCAGATGCACAAAGACCTTCTGAGCCACAAGATAAAGACTGCACAATTTTACTGTCTACAGCTAGCAATAAAACTCTATATTTGTATTAATGTAGAGCGAACAGTGCGCGTATGACAAATATTTGCAGTGCTGTCATTCTCTGATACATGATATTTACAGTGTCATTTATTGCCAAGGGCATAGTGATTTGTTATATGATCATGTAACAGAGTCACTCAGTTCAGTTCATGAATGCTTGCATTCTTATTTGATCTAAAACAAAGATATCCAAGTAGATGAAGACAAACGAATAGGTATTCCCTACATGCAATACATAAAAGGAGTTCATGTAGGAAAATGGGACAGAGTTTATGTTTTCTTAATAGGTTTGGATATGTATTGTAAAGTTTGCTTTTTGCATACACTCTATATCATAGGAAAGTAAATATATGCTTCAGGCTTAGGATGTAAACAAGATGCAAAGCATCCCAGTCTCGTCAGTAAATTTACATGTTGTAAATCTTTTATTGCCCACAGTTAGTAATGCGGGAATGGGACTTATTGGCCCCATTGAATGTCAAACCATTGAGGAAATGAAAACTGTAATGGACACAAACTTCTTTGGACTGGTCAGACTACTGAAAGAAATATTACCCGACATGAAGAAGAGGAAGAGCGGACACATTGTAATAATAAGCAGCGTGATGGGAATACAAGGTACAATAGGTATTGTACTATGACAATATACCGTGATGCCTGTCCCTCTAGTTCTGGGCGGCGTATGTCTACCCATATTTAAAAATCACTGTGCTGATTGAGTAAAGAATTTGACATCTTGTTAGGATCTTTAAAGCAATTTGCCCTTTGTGGTTGGGTTTTCCCTCACTTAGACAAGGCCTGAAGTGGAAAAGGTTCCACCTGATGAAAAAGTAACTATACTGCGAGTCCAGAAGAGGGGACCCACACCACTGGTCTATAGTCTAAATAATATGGAATGTAAGGCTGAACGAACCTAATGGTGTTTGTTCTTGCAGGTATTCTGTTTAATGACGTGTATGCTGCCTCCAAGTTTGCTGTTGAAGGCTTCTGTGAAAGTCTGGCAATCCAGGCACTGAAATTCAAACTGCAGTAAGTATGGCTTTTACAATCTTAGACTGGTAGAGTATTGTGCTGTGTTAGCCGTCATTTCATGCAGAAAGTTTGGAATTTAAGTAGGGATGTTCAGATACCAGCTGGGACCTGGCTCTGGCACTCCTGAAATCATTGGTCTGTATTGTTTTAGAAAAACTGTCACATGACATTAAACAAAAATGTATCAGTACTTGTATCTGTGAGTCAGTGATGTGCAGTGGAGTCCGTTCTCGGTGAGGCATTTCCCCTGCCGGCCTCGCCCCAGCCCGGTTACCGAGCTATGTGGAGGAGGGAGGTAGGTCAGAGAACGGAGGAGCCTCCCTGTCCCTCACTTGCTCGTGACCAGTGAGGCATCGAGATCGATGTCCTGTTTTTAAAAAAAATTTTTTGTTTATTGGACAGCTTGGACGAATGGTGCTTTGCCGTTGGTCCTAGCCATCCACAGAGCTCAAGCCTCTAACAGCAAGTAGAGGCTGTTGCAGCTCTTGCCACACTAAGTTGGGTTACACAAAGCAGTGGGGAAGCTCGCTGCTGGGTAAACTAGCTTAGCTGTCAAAAGCCAGATGCAGCGCCACCTGTAATTAACAGGCAGTGCTCCGTCCATGACAGGATACTCAGCGGGGAGGATTTCCCTGCTGTATAACTTGCTAGAAGCTGATCTGAATGGAGAAAAAGCTGTCAGCTTCATATTTGAAGCTGACAGCTATTTCCTCCATAGTACTAGGTGAGGCTCTGACTGCACGTCCCTGCTGTGAGTACTTGGACAAGTATCAGTACTTTTACTTGAAAAATAGTATCTCTGAATCCTCCTTAAAAATCACAGCTGCCTCCTAACTTTTTCTCTAGTCTATTCTTGGAGCCAGAAAAGTATCTGTACATGTAGCGAGTACTGTACTCAGTATCTGAACATCCCTAAATGTAAGCGATACCCTTTATTGGCTGCCCTAAGTTATTACAGATGCAAGCTTTTGGGATGCAATATTTAAGTTCTTCAGGCTTTATACAAGCCTTGTAAAACAGCCCATTGTTTACAGGCTTCATAGCTCAAGCTGCAGTTTACATATAGAACTGGATGACTGATCACAAGGATCCATTCCTTATTGGACAGCTCAGTCTGAAGTTTCAATCAGACAAAGCCATCTGTGAGGCAGGCAGCTACTGTTGTCCTGTGTCTTTAGAAAAACTAGTGTTCTGGGAATCCTTTTTCATGTATTAAATGTTTATTTGTAAAACATGGAGGGGGGAATTTATCAAAACTGGAGCAGTTGACCATGGCAACCAATCAGTTTCTCTCTTCAGTTTGTTTAGTTAAGGTTTGAAAATTAAAGATAGATGCTGATTGGTTACTATGCACAGCTGCTCCAGATTTTGTCTGCTGCAGTTTTGATAAATTCCCTTCGGAGTCTATAAATATGGTTCAAAAACATACACGCTTTAAAAAAGAAAGTGACCAAAAACCATGTTATGTTTCCATTAACCTGACCAAGGACTAATGGCGTCATATTCCTTGCAGTGTTGTTTGGTAGGGTATAAAAGGAGAGAGTTCAGTCCTAGCAAAGCTCAGACTTTCTAGAGCAGAGGTACCCAAATGTCAGCTGTGGCAAAACGACAAATCCCTTGTGCCAATGCTTGTGGCTGTCAGAGTCTTGCAATGTTTAAAGGGATTTGTAATTCTTACCACAGCTGGAGTGCCGACGTTCAGCTACCATACCTGAGAAATAGAAAACTGAAGTCCTGGTCTTCATGATGACGCTGGCATGTGGCACTAGGAATTGTGATGGAGATAATGACTGGCTGCATAAAAATAGAACATCTGAAAATGATGAAGTTGTTTAATAATGAAACGATTGTGTTGCAGCCTAAGCTTGATTGAACCTGGCCCGGTCATCACAGAGTTTGAAAAGAAAGTTTATGAAGACGGAATGAAAATGGATCTTTCTGCAGCAGATATGGAAACCGCAGAGATGTTTACCACTGTTTATCTGAAAAACTATAAATCAATCTTCCAGAGCCTGGGCCAGACAGCCGAAGATGTAGCAGAGGTAATAACACTAAAGAGTCATCCTGACCATTTAAACCGGAGTAGACACCCAAAACAACCTACAGACAACCGATAGTCTCTCACTCTATTGAATAGTCTCAGGAGGTCCTGCACAAGCTGACCATACAGGATTCCCCCATCTACCCTAAAAGCATATATGGAGGAATCTCCATTGCCAGCTATTATTTTCTGACATTTGGCATGGCTGTCAGAATACCTGAACACTGACTGTAGAAAGTTGACTGCAGTCACTGTTCAGTGGACAATGTTCCACCCAGCTCCTTTGACAAAAGTCAATTGAAGCGACAACTTTTGTTAAGCTGTGCAGTGTTGGCAGGGCTATCCATGGATTGACCATTAGCCTACTCAGCAGGAAACCCGAAATTCA